TTTAAAGATTTGATATTTTGATAATCCATGTTGAGACGAATTCAACAAGACCTTAAATGGCTATATTTTTCTTTACAAACATTATTACTTGCGATGGTCAAAGTGGAGTTTGTGAATATTGCTAAAACAAAAAGAAAATGTAAAGAACTTGTGAAAAGATGGTAATTTTTTTTAATTCAAATTTGAGCAATTGCACGGTGCAATAGTTGCTGTCAATATGCACATCTATGAAGATTTGCCGTTACTTTTATTGATGGGCGAGTTGATTCTAGGTATAGAAGCATTTGAAAGCCTGTCATCGGCTGTAGTTTGTCATGTTCCTGTAGGTTTCATGATAAAATTATACATATGCAAACTGGAAGTAGCCAGTGGTACTGTAGCACTGTTCTTGTAGTGATTAGTATTTAGTAGCTTCACTTTTTAGATTGCATTTTGATTCTGACATTTGTGTAACATCAAACAGTCCAGCCTCAAGTGGTAAACCTGATAATGATGATGTGGTTAGCCATAAAGACGCCGAACAGGCAGAGCAAAACCTTGATGAAACACCTGCTCAATCATTGGATGTTGCTGCTGAGAGTGACAGAAGAATGCATTTTGTGCAAGTTTCAACCACTAGAAGTGTTGAGTTTTCATCTTATACGGTGAGGATATTATTCTTGTTGCTCAATCCGACATGTGTAGCCTGTCTTATATGCTCATATATATATTTTTCAATGCAGTCTAATGCAGCAATCAATGTTGCTGAAAATCAAGGCAATGCTGCAAAACCGGCTGAGAATGTAGAAGAAAAGATTACTGAAATTACATTGTTGAATGAGGTCAATGGAACATCAGAAAATGTAGAAGAAGATAGCAGAAGCATGGTCAATGAGAACAAAGATGACGAAGATGAGTATGGCAGTGATGGTGACGTGGATGATGATGATGATGATGATGACGGCGATGACGATGATCATCCAGGTCAAGCCTCAGTGGGAAAGAAGCTATGGAGATTTCTTACATCATGATTCACAAGTCGTCCGTAGCTGTTAGTTGTAATTACAAAACCCATGCAGCTTAGTTTAGTTGGGTTGTACCATAGTTATCAGTAGGTATTGTCTGACAATCTTTTTGTCCCATAAATCTGTGATAAAACATGGATATTTGGTTATCCCTCCACCTGTGGTTTATACTTCATATTATGAAATAGGCCATTCAATTCTTGCTTACAAATTGTCTTTCGCCTGGTAAAAAGTATAACTAGGTTCTCTCAATCCTCTAGCCGTAATGGAAGCAGGCAAAACAAGGTAAAGAATGATGAGTCTTGGGCCGTTTGGCGCCTGTGTTGGCAGGATTCAAAAGGGATTCATCATTTTGCTGGTTTCAAGTCATTTGCTAATGTCATGATGCATCTTAAGGCTAGAATACTGTTACTATAGAGTTCATCTACAATTTATTAAGTAATACGTAGTATATAGAAACTTTCAAAACATTGATGGATCAATGAATCACAAAAGTAATGGAAATTTGTATTAATGTAGCTAATGTGCTAAATCTATGAACTTGTTTATCACCCACAAACTTATTGCTAAATTGTGTTTATGCCGACTAAAGATTCAGGAGCAATGATTAATGGCGAGCAGCAATGACCAGGGAAACAAATTGTGTTTTACAGACTAGAGAAATTGCAAGTTTTTTTAAGGGTTGGGATTGGGGAGCAAAGATGAAGGACTCTACAGAATCAACGGGGCAAGTTAACCCACCTAGCTACATAAGTCATCTTTAAGAGTAGAGGGGAGATTATATGTTGCAATTGCAAACAATAAAGATATTGATAGGAGTCTTAACCACATAAATCTAAAATGACACCTTATAGTTGAATCTATGTAATGATTTGTTCACAGTCGACCTAGCTAGATGTCATTAATGTTTCTTAGATACATAGATCAAATTGTAGGATCATAATATTCAAAATAGTATAGAACAAATGATAACACTTAACAAACGGCGAATAACTAACATTCAGCAGCATACGACAAAAGATTTTGAAAAATACGCATAACTGCCTCAATTCGCTTAAGCTAATTACTTGCTTCTATAGAATGATTGCTAAGTGCAAAGTAGTTTATCTCTCTCGAAATTGATTGTCCAATGAGCAGAGAAATTGATGACTATTCAATGAAATCCGATATCATTATAATTATAAGCGAATAAAATCAATCAATATACAGCAGAAAAAAGAAACTTTTCACCAGTCACTTTTATGACCAATTAATGATTGTTCAAAAATCTATATTGCATGATTGACAAACTAGCTAGATAAACATTTATTTGATGCAACCATGTTAACAACAAGAGAGGATGCACATTAAAATTCTTAAACCACATAACCATAAGTTAAGAAATGATGACTAAACTTCCAATCCACCTATCACAAGATTCACAACTAAGCTTAAACCACTAACTATAAACAATAAGCAATCCAACCCTAAAAGGTAAAGAAAGAGGTAAAATCTAGTACAACACAAAACAATGAAAATGGGCAAGTAAAAAAGAAGGTACTTAAATGAGTAGTTGTTAATATAAACTTAGGAAAGTAAATGACAAGAAAAAGACATGTCAACGAGCATAGGCCTGCTAAGCAAGCAGTAGACAATAGTGTGGGTGTGCCTGGTCACAGTAGCCGTCCGCCATACGCCGATGCCAACACCGTACGTGGTCCTCGATCTGTTGCGCCTATCTTTCTTTTGTAGCCTTCGATATTCTTCATTTACTACACCAACTTTTTTTTACTTTTTCTTTGGTTTTCTTTACTTTACTTAACTTTACTTTTTGTTTCTCAGCTATGATGGAGTTAATGTATTGAGGGGTAGTTTAAAAAAATTTATTGGTGCAAATAAAGTAAGACTAACCTACAACAGGAGTAATTAGATGAGTCAAACATAATACACTACTCCGTAATACATTAATACGTAAAGACTTGTTCTCTTCACCTGAAAAAAGATGATCTGATCTGAATATTTTAAAATCTTGTTTAGTCTGGTATGAGTTTGTCTAATCTCGTCTGGTATGTGCGATTGTTATTATCATTGTTTAGGTTGTTTATCTTATTTGATCTGATCTGAATTTTTCTGTCATGATCTGAATATTTTGATATGGTCTATTACTTTCAATTTGAACAAAAATCTGAATAAGTATCTGAAATAAGTTGAAAAGAACTAATCCGTAGTATTTCTTTTTACTTGACATGTTTCATACTCACACCCGTCACACCCAATAGTATGTAACAATTCATATTCCCCTTGTTCATACTAAAAAAAAAAATGTGTTTATAATTACTGTTGCCCTAAAGAAAAATGCTACAATTACTCCTCACATTATTACCATCATAACTGTACATTGTCTTTGTTTTATAATTGTAGTGTTGCAACTTCACCAATGCTTACTTGCTTAGGCAACAACTTTACCAGTGTTACCACCCATCCCATCCACCACCAAACCTATCACATTGATTTATCTATTTTTATTTTTTTTTTAAATTTTTGTGTGAAGATGCAATGGTAGACTGGTAGTAATGTAGAAGGAATTTGATCCCAAATTTTGATCCCCAATGACTTTACCAACTAAATTAATTGACATCTATAATAAATAAATAAAAAATAAAAACAGGTTTTTAAATCGGAGTTTAGTCTTACAGGTAATAAAAAGTAACAAAATAAATCACCTTTTATATTTTTTTTAACTGTCAAATATATTAAAATTAGAATTAGGTAGTAATTTTAATTTATAATTATACTTGTCAATCTTCCTTAAAAAACATACCTTTGGTCCACATTCCACACCATATCTTTGGTCCAAAAATAAATTTCATGGTTATATAAAAATATCAAAAGATTGAAGCTGGAAATATAGTTGGCAGTTTGGCACTCTATAAAACTCTTACTCAAACCTTACATGAAAAAACTAGTTTGGTTGGACCATATATTTACAATATATGCTCAGATTCTGGTTTCCAAAAGTTTTCACTGCTGCCTTGATATTGTTAAAGAGCTCAAACGGCCCAAAATAAAAGAAAATACCAATCTTTATCAATGTTTAAATCCCTCCTTTGTCCTGTGTTTGATCTAATAACTACATTTGCATCTATCTCCTTGTTTTTGCATGGCAAACAAACCAAGTGGTCCATTGGTCCCCTCACCACCTCCCTACTCCCCCTAATACAATTAAATTTGCTTTAATGTAAATCTAATTAGTAATTACTCTTTTGTGTACAATTTTATACAACTGTATAATACTTATTGCTAAAATGGTAGGAACTTAACTTTATGTACTTTTAATGTTGTAAAAGGAGAAAGATTTTACCAAATTGACAATCTAATGAACTCCGATTTTACTCCTAAAAAAAGTCAATGGTGGAATTTGATTACATGAAAGTACTATGTATATATTTTTAAGTCATGAGATCAAATGCTTATCACTAGGTCGAACATTATTGGGTAGAAAGTATACATTGTCTTGTAAAATCCCATTCTACAAATTGAAATAAAGTATAAAGCTCATTCTACTAAAATAATCAACTTACATCAAGCTTAGAAATCCAATGAAATATCATCCGTAATACTTCTACTACATCATAGAGGACAAGGTAGAAGTTGGTTATATTTTATACTGGTATAAAAATACTTGTAGAAGCTTAATAGCCTTAATTCCTCTCTTTCTCTTGAATCACAAAATTACGTGTCGATCAGTGTTACTCTTTATTTAATACGAATAAGAGTTATAGTTTTAAAACACACTTACTTTTAGGTGTAAACCTTAAATTATTTACTTTTAAGTCATAACTTTGCAAGAGAACCACCACTATACCCTAGTCAACAAAATAATTACTCATACTAACTATTCTCGTACAAATTAGACAATTAGTTCACATTCTCTCTCCTCCCACCAATTAATTTCCTTGGGGGAATAGTAACAAAACATAAATGAAGAGATATATAGGCATTCTGAAACAAGATCACAAGTCTGCCCTAAAGAAAACAACAACACTGTAGTACACTTTTAAAGTTTATTTTCCATTTCTCAAAAACCACATTTCTTTCATTTTCATAGCCCCAACCCCCTCTTTTACCCTATTAATTATCCCCTTTTTATTACAAAGTAATTATCATTTATTTGCTATAATTTCATTTTCATCCTTTGAAAACTGTGCATTATTTCTTCTCTTTGCTTTTTAGCCTTCTTCTTCCTTACACTTCAGTGCCTTTTCTAGTTGAGTACATCTTTTTGTGAAACATCCTCTGTTTTTTCTTCCTCTGTTTTCTGAATTTCTGTTTTTTTTTTTCCTCCCTCATTTTATTCAATAATAACCATATTATATGCATTTTTCTTTCTCCAGTGAGTTATTCTCCCATTTCATTTCATAAAAATGTTATCTTTATTCAATTCCCATGTGGGTTTTTCTAATTTTGCACCAAAATAGGTCTCAAATTATTAAAAAAAACAGAGGAAATTTGTTTCTTTTTTACTTTTCAATCCATAATTTTGCTGGGTTTTAGTAAATAAAAAAAATTATGAATTTTTTGTTGAGAAAATTATGGTTTGTGATTTTCTCCCTCCTCATATTTTCCATGGAAAGTGAGTGGTGCAATGGAGAAGAAACAGGGGATGAAGAAGCAATAATGGAGAAAACAGAGAAAGAAGCACTTTACAATGCAATTCAAGGTTTTGTGGGTAATTCATGGAATGGTTCAGATCTTTATCCTGATCCTTGTGGTTGGACTCCTATTCAGGTATTATTTTCTTATATATTTAATGTATTTTATAGCATTATCATCATATTTATTAATTTTTTTTTGGAAGAGTATAATGTACTTTTACCTACTAAATATATGTATGTACTTCAATGTTGTCATATCTTGCTATTATTTCTTGATTTTATGTGTATTGTGATACATTTTTATTGGTTTTTGTATATTAATGGAGTTAGAATGATAAAACACTGTTGTTTGTTCACTAATTTGAGTAATTTTTTGGGCTTTACCAAATATACCAATATATTGTGTGGAAGTTTTATGAAAGCTTGTTCTTTAATCTTGACTAGTATCTTGTACAGTTTTTGGTGAACCTTCTTTTTTGGTGAACCTTCTATGTTCACTTAATTTTTCACATTTTGGAATATTATTAAAATTTGTTGAACACTAAAAGAGAAAATATTTGTTCCTCCTGTAAATGATCAAAAATATTGTAACATAGAGTATCAAACTTTTAATATTATCTCATAGCCCCAAAGTGTCTAGGAGTTTGCAAATATTATTAGGGATACTACTCTATCCGAAATTAATTATCAAGTTGATAGTGTTTATTCACTAATAACGTGACGAGTTCAATATCGATGGAGGATTAGAGGGGTAGCCCCTAATTAGCATTAATTTTATCGACTTTTGTCTAATAACCTCTTCCTAATCAAACAAGTTCGGATTAGTACCTTCTACCTACGCAGTAAATCCAACTTAATTCATTTCAAAATTTGATTTTTCATAGAAATAGGGTTTTAATAAGTGGTTAGGAACTTAGGATATTGAGTAACACAAGAATAGTGACATGCATAAGAATAGTGACATGCACAAGGGGCAATAAATAACCACCCCAATTATAAGGTTTATGGATGCCCGCATGTGCAATGTTTGTAACACTAACATGTAGTTGCATCCTTGATTATGCTTTTTTCATTTTCCAATTTTGTTCATATAATTTGAGTCCCTACTTTCTATTTCTTTTGTTAAGTCTCTTATGCCAATTTTGTTTCTAAGGTACAAACTCATCATCATAAAAAAGATGAATTTTTTTTCATCATTTGGGTGTTATATTGTGCAATGATTATTTCATATCTTTGAAAAAGAAGTAAAAAATTTGCTATTTTTCAAAAGTTTCCAACTTTACTAAGTTTGAAACTCAAAAAAATCCATTACTTTGTTCATGCAAATTTCCAAACTTTGGTTCATTATACAGTTAAAGGTGATTTTTAATTTTTATTCTATTCTTGTGAAACATGTCAATTTCTTGTGGTGGTTACATTTAAAATTTTACATTATTGAACTTGCTACACAAATATGGTAATGTTGAAATAATTTCAAAAATATCCACTTTTTTTGGTAACATTTTTCTGATATTCTATTCTGCAGGGTGTTTCATGTGATCTCATCAATGAATTTTGGTATGTTACTGATCTGAGTATTGGACCTCTTCATGACAATTCTCTTACATGTACCAAAAACCCTGAATTTAGACCACAAATTTTTGAACTTAAGTATCTAAAATCTCTATCTTTTTACAATTGTTTCATTTCTCCTCAAAATTTGATCACCTTACCTACTAACAACTGGGAGAAGTTGGCTACAAGACTAGAAACCTTGGAATTTCGCTCGAATCCTAGCCTTATTGGATCACTGCCTACTGTTTTTAGTGATCTCCAACAGCTGCAATCCTTGGTGTTGATCGAAAATGGAATTACTGGAACATTGCCAACAGATATAGGCAACTTGGTGCATTTGAAGAGACTAGTCCTTTCTGGGAACAACTTTACGGGCCGAATTCCTGAGACTATTGGCAGTCTGAAGGAGCTCTTGATCCTTGATATGAGCAGGAATTCATTATCTGGGTACCTTCCTACCTCAATTGGGTACCTAAATTCACTCTTAAAGCTGGATTTAAGCAACAATTTGTTGATGGGTGATATTCCTAGTAATATTGGCAATATGAAGAATTTAACTCTGTTGGATCTAAGAGGCAACAATATTACTGGTGGATTGACAAAATCAGTTGAAGAATTGGAGTCATTACAAGAATTAGTGTTATCTGATAATCCAATAGGAGGTGAAATTAGTAAAATTGATTGGCAGAAGTTGCAAAATTTAATGATTTTGGACCTCTCAAATTTGGGTTTGTCAGGTGAATTTCCTAAGTCTATGATAAAGTTGAAGAAGCTGAGATATGTGGGCCTTGGTAACAACCATCTTACAGGTTATCTGCCTTCAGAAATTGCAAATATGTCTGGTGTAAGTGCAGTTTATGTTAATGGGAATAATCTGACTGGGGAGCTGAAATTTTCTGAGGTCTTTTATCAAAGACTAGGGAGGAGATTTGGGGCTTGGAATAACCCAAGTCTATGTTACACGAGTGGGCTAATGTCAACCAGGCATAGTCCGATTGGTGTGAAACCTTGTAAGTCGGAGGACATCTTTGTAAACACGACTATGAAATACGAGTTGAGTAGTGAGAATGGTAATGTTCTACGACAACATGCAGCTTGGATCCCTTCAACAACTGCATCTAACAGCTTAAATCCGGATATTATATCCTCTTTGGGACTGTCAAGCTGTAAAATTGAAGGGTTTTGGTGGAGTTTTCTAGTAGAGTCATTAATGATAGTTACGTTATTGAATTATTTCTTGTAATTTAGGAAGATTAGATTAGATGCTTAAGGGAAAAATAGAACCATTTCAAAAACAAAAAGGGAAAATGTAGAAGTATGCTTTTTCTTCTGATCTCTATCATGTCATAAATGATGAAACTAACATATATTCTCTTGCTACAGAGTATTTTAAGTCAAACAAGACATATCACACGTATGCTCTATTGTTGATGAGTACTTGCTTCTATCTTGCTGTCAATTATTTCAATTTTATTTTACGTTAAGCTCAAGTCTACGCCCAAAGCATCTATTGTACACCCGATACAATATGCCCAATGCATGTACGACTTAGTATGACACACAATGACTCGATGAGCACATGTCGCGTACATGCCATGATGTCGGCTTGTTACAAATTCTTCATACGTTTTGTTTGAAGGCAGTCTAGAATAACTAAGATTATAATTTACAGTAGAATTGTTTATCAAACATACAAAATGTGACAAGTTGAAAACAGACTAGTATTGCAAGTGTAAAATACCCTTGTAGTGTAAGGCCTCTTGGCAAAGATAAAAATGATTAGGCGCTCCAAGAGAGTAGGGGACCATGGATCATCGTGGAGGCTTCTGCTGCACAAAAGGCCTTTATTGCATGAGCAGATACTCGATAAAGCCTGCCGTATATAATGCCAAACTTTTTAATGATTGGTTTACTAGATTTAATTCCAAGTACAGACAATTTGATAATACCCTTGTTTTATTTTACAAATTTGGTTAGGCTATTTAGTCACAATCAAATTCTATCTGTATAAGTAAGTTTCAATCTTTAAATTAATCTGCGGTTATTTTCACTGATTTCTACCATTGATAATTTATTCATTTATCAAGCAATGTATTTGGGTGAAAGAGCTGATTTTGATACACTTATTGTGAGAGCACAACTTTTTGTACTCGTCTCACTGAAAGGTTTCCCAAAATCACTTTTAGGTGAGTAAATCATTTCCGGCAGAAGTCTTAAACTCTTGCAAGGGTTCTAACCCAATTTAATACTGGCTAACAAGAGTGAAAGTTGTAGGCTTCCTATAACTTAAGCACCTTAAATTCACGGTTAGCTATATTACCTAACTCATCTGTTTGAAACTATGAAAGCATTAGTCTTTTTCTTGGTATGCAAATGAAAGCATTAGTCATACTGAAACAAGTCGCATAAATCAAGTCCAATACATGAATGCCAACAAATTTAAACACTTCTGTAGCTTTTTTTTTTTTTTTTTTTTTTTTTTCCCTTCCAAAAATCAACTTGTTTTTTACTACATCAGAAATCCTATCTACCAACCCCCAAAAACTCACTTTTAACACCAAAATATGAGATCAAAACAGTGCTATGACCACATTCAGAGCCAAGCAAAATGAAAAAAGAGAAGGGAGCCAGTCAGCAAGAAATGGTGATCAAGTGAGGGAAACGAAGCTGCTTCATATTTGTGTAATCATCTCTGGTCATTTGGTGACATTTACATTACTTTAAGAAATTCAGCGAAGCTCGGGTATTTTGGCTCCCAGCCAATTTCAGCACGAGTTTTAGAGTTGTTCAATCTTTTACCAAGTGAATCGTTTGCACCTGAGACAAGAAATTCCAGATACTAGTTAAACAAGGCTTTCCAGAGTGCATAATTGCTAAGAGGCAACTGAAGCTGCCACCTTAATCGGTAGTTAAGAGGGGGGGGGGGGGGGGAGTCAATAAACAACCAAATCTGATTTTCACAAATCTAAAGAAGCAAAGAGGAAATAAACGTTCTGATTTGATACAATCTCTTTCAGTTGGTGAGACGAAGATAGCTACTTGTATAGACTTTATTGGGGAAATATTATTTTTGCAATTTACTGTATTAGTTTTAGACATCAACCATTGAAGCTTGTTGTCCCAAGTCCCATTACCTGTAAAACCCTCAAACCTCCCACTGAATTTTCCACTCTGAATAACCAGGTCCATAATTTCTTGCCTGCACAGTATAGAATGGTAAATTCACAAGAATAGGAAAAGAAAACAACTGAATCATAGATCAGTACAGCAGAATGCTACGATGATCCAAGATAAGGAGAATACCTTGACAAAGGATGATTGTCACAACCTAGGAAGACCCTCGCACGTAAATTCTTTTTCAAGATTGCAATTGCTAGTGATGCAGCATCCTAACAGGAAATTACCAAAAAAAAAAGTGTGAAGTGAGCAAGGGGTACCAAAGCAAAATACAGTATAAAGTGGCACTTGCACCTATAAGTGTTTAAAATACATCTCATGTCGCATACAAAATGTCAGTATGCCAAAAAGCATGAACCTTCAATTGATAGACGATGATCGATAAAGTTAAAAAATAAGAATCCTATGATATTCAAAATTTAATGTAACCATGCATCAAAAAAGTAATCACTAAACTATGATGATAGCATGATTGAAAAAAGCAGAAGTTATCACGAGTTAAAGGTTTTACTTCATAGTGAATAAGGTTGACAAAGTGATCTGGACGAAGATCACTCTTTCCTTGCTTCAACCAATAAGTGTGAGCACCTCTATCAGCTTTGTATTAAGAGTTGAGGCTATAAACAACTTAAATTATTATATACTTAAAATTAGAAATGCAAATCAGCAGATCTATAAAAGGAAATTGATAAAGGATATATAGAGTCCTGCCAATCGAAGAATACAACCACCATTATCTAGAACAACGTTCTCTGCTTTTAGAAGGACGTCTGTTCTAGGGCTCTTTCCCATTGGTACAGTAGGGGTTTCCTGTAAAACCATCAAGAAAAAAAGAGACTCCGTTAAAATCAGAAATATGAAAGGTACCTAAATGCAAGAAAATTGAAATGTTCAAAAATCCGAGAGCTAAATCTAATGACATATAAAAACTGCAAGAAATGGACAAATATATTCCAGTCGCTATTGTTAGCTGAGGCCTGGGCCAACATTCTCTAATGAAATGGGACTATATTGAATAATTTGAAGAAAGTCTTGTTGCATTTTAGGCAATTAACACAAGTCTAAACGGCTGTGTTCTTCCATCAATCCACGTTGAGGAATTTGCTTCACTCAAGAAATGTACTGGAATGATGTAAACGGGAAAGAATAATCCATGGGGACAGCTGGGAAAGCATTGTTGAAAAAAAAATATGATACGAAAAACATGGCTATCTTGATGTATATGAATACATAGTTCTGGATCAATATGCAAATGGTATGTAGAGGTATTTTCCTTTAAAAAAAGAGATTAGATAAGAGTCATATATCTCAACAACAAATCTTGACATAGAAAAATTAGCTCATATGATGATAACAGCAATGTAGTACAAGAGATATAACACCTCATCACAATCCCCATTGTCAGTACAGTCAACTAGTCCAGAGCTTGAAGTGAAAACAAATGATCCTTTGCCATTCCAGCTTGATGCCGCTTCCCTGCTTGCAATGCCATGGAAACAATTGGCACAGCAATTATATAAGGTTCAGGTAGTTGTAAATTCATTTACTTCAGCATATCAACAAGTAAAAAGAAACAAAGAAAAAAAAAGTTATTTAGTAATGGAAAGAGTTGGCCCATGATGAACATAAAATTTGCTAATCAAAACACAGTAACATTAATGCCTTAGATCCTACTCATCCTAGGGAATCACTTAATGAGAGCATATTGGGTCGTATGATTACCTGTGCAGAGTGTGGGTCAAGAACTCAAGACTCAAGATGTTCAATAGAGCAACATACACAAGCTGGAAACTTTACAGGAATTATGTTATTCTGTTAGGTCTGGATTGAAGGTCAAGATGTTCAATAGTGCAACATGTTCAATAACGACATATGGGACTTGATTGTTCACAGGCATTCACTTGATGCAACTGATTGTACATGTATTATGTTTGTGCTGGTAATCTGGCATGACAAAATATTTGGTTATAGGATGGTTTGTGTTTTAGGGCTGCAAGGCAGCAGACAAGTAGACTATGTTAATTATTTATAATACAGGATACGATCTTAAAAATTAGATTTGATCCAATTTTATCTCACCTCAAGTAGATTAAGCCTAGCATTAAAGCCAGATCCAATTTCGTCCTGTTTATCTTCACTCTTTTTAGTCTTTGACATTATATCCTTTGCTGATGTCCTTAGATTTAGGTTTGACATAGATTTCATTATGAGACAATCACTTCATCATAGAATAGGATGTTGAAATTCAAGGTGTACACACTTACCTAACATCGCCTGCATAATCTGGACTCTTTGATGGAGGAGCACAAAAAATAACATACGGAAACTGACAGGGTAGCATAGCTCCCTTCACTGAAGGAGTTATTCCAATATTCATCAATTCATCATGATGATCTGTAGTTGCAGTCTTCCCGTAGATTTGACATCCTGGATGATCCTAGACACCATAATGACCACTTGTATCAGAATTTTCCTCTTCTATAAATGGATATCGAAAACACAATAACTTTGAATTGTCATTCATCATTCCTATGAACACTTATCTTATAACAATATCTTGCCAAAATGAAAAACCAAACAATTAACTACAGTACCAAAAAATAAGAGTCAAATTTTCACAAGCACATGCAAGGATTTGATATAAAGTAACCAAAATATCATTTATTCAATATTAAAGGGAAAAACAACCTTGAATAATCCAAAGTTTTCCTTTTTAAACAATAATAAGTCTAAAATGCCGATAATCCAAAGTCTGAAACTAGTGTACAAGATTACACCAGTCTCCGATAAACCTTATAAATATAAAATATACTCTTCTCACAGCAGTAGCTTTCTTCTTGAAAAATCCTTGGGTAGCTTAATCTCCAGAAATAGCTACCTAACTTTCCTATGCCTCAATTTTATCACGTCCTTTATTTTTGTCTTGGATTGGTATACAATTGTGATTTGTTTTTGGAAGCAATGGCTTCTTTGGTAGTAGGTAACAGAAATTGGTTACGGGAATGAATTTAAGAGTATTTGACATGATAAATGACATCCTTATATCCATGGAAATGCAGTATCATCCCCAAACTTTTGTTTTCGTAGCTAAATGCCCAAAACTACCCAATATCACCCCAAATGGCAATGGAAATATGTGGAGACAATTTAAGGCGAAAAATCATTACCAATGTTTACTATCACTTACCAAACGGGCGTTAAGGGTTATGGCCATAAATTCTAAGTAATTTTTGTACCTTTACAATTCAGAATCCAGCAAGATGAACATCTATTATCCAGGAATCATATGTGATTAAATAAACATAGTTACTAAAACTGTCATCAAATATGCCAGTAGCCCACTACAAGTTTGTGTAGTGTACACAATTCGCTACCAAAGTATTGTTGAATCAAGCCAAAATATACCACAATTCACATACAAAGTATTAATTTGCCTTAATCAGTTCTTGAGAAATTAGAGTAAATATTTTACATAAGAAACAAATACGAGGTAAGAATGCAATAGAAATGGCGATTATACCTGACTCCATTGTTGAGCTACCAAGCGACCAAGAACACCAGGTCCGACGATTAACAAATCATTCTCACCAACTACCACAGACGATGATGATGATGTTCCTGATTAACATTAAAGTGTCAATTAATTGAAACTTCTTAATTTCCAGCAAATTGTCGAATTCAGAACAATAATTGAAAGGGGAGCTCACCAACGGAGGCGGAGGAAGAGATTGCTCGAACAGTGGAAGCCATTGATGACGAAGACAATGACAATGGTGGTGGTAGAAAATTGGAATTAGGGTTTGAAATTGGAAATTGGGGATGAGAATTGAGTGAGGTCCAGTAATTTGAAGAAAGAGAAAATTTGGGGGAATTGGAGTGAGAATGTCGAAATGCTTTGAGAGAAGAAATGGCGCAGAAAGCGTGGGTGGTTGTCATCACCATTGGAGAATGAAGTCTGCAACTGTAATAAGGTAGTTTGGGTGGAGCGCTTTTTTACAAAAGGAAAGGAGGTAAGAAAGGATCCAGAGGTAAAGAAGGAAACGAACGCACGGGCCGTTGTGTAGGCTCACGTGATGCGCCATTTTGGCCTAGGACCTATTCTCTTCGACTTAATTTTAATTTATGTTAGATCAATTTTTAATTTGCTTTTCTCATAAATAGTTTAGTTCAGCTCAGTTCACTATATTAAATCAAAACAAACCCTTAGTATAGATGAGCAAATCGGATACCCGGTCAAAATTTTAGGATCTGGAATTGATTGGGACGGGTCCTAAAATTCTGATTTGAAATTAGAACCGGTACAACAGGGTCCTAAAATTTAGGAATTGGAATTGGTTCCACACTTCCTTCGGGTACCGATTCCGATGTCGTGTACCCACTTATATGCATACTTCCTAATATAAAATACAAATCATAATAATTTTTTGATTTATTTTCATTTTTAGCGTTTAATACTTATATTTTTTTTATAAACATTAAGCTATTTTATTGATGTTAATATATTTTTATTTTATTAATTAGATGCATTCAACATATTTTTGTTTTATTAAATAATATTAGTTTAATATATGTTCGGTAACCTAGTTCAATATATATTGGTGTAGACACCTAAAAATGTCTCCTCAAAACCAAACCCGATGATAAATAACCTTTCACCGCCTCTATCGGTCGGGTTTAGTATTTAATCCCGAGAGTGCTTAAAAAATCGTATTTTATTAAATTCATATTTTTGAAAGGTCTATGGATTAGTCTTGATGTTTGGTAAAAGCATAGTTTTAATTTCAGCCCAATTAATTTTAAGCCCAAACCTTTTTATTATATTATTATTTATTTTTGGCCCAAACATTTTATTTATTTTTATTTTATTATTTTCTTATTTTAGCCTGAATAATAAAAGTCAGAAAAAAGCCCGAAATTATCAATCGGCACTTAAAAAGCTGAAAGAAATTAGGGTTAAAAATGAATTTAGACGGAAAAATGGACTGGAGGTGACCGTGTCACGGTACAGTTTGACCGTGTCACGGGAACCACTTTCGTCTGACGGTGGGACTTCCCGTGACACGGGAGGTCTGCCGTGACGCGGGATGCTCCGTGTCCTTTCCGCGTAAACCCTTAACGCGTTTTTCATTTCGTTTTCTGAAAATTTCCCGCGTCACTCCAAAACTGTACCGTGTCACGGGAAAGTGTACCGTCTGACGGTACAGTCTGACCGTGTCACGGGATACTTTTTTAGGGTTTTTATCATTTTAGGGTTCCGTGTGCTCCCTCAGCACATTTTCCCTATAAATACCCCCTCATTTCTGATGTACGGGGCGACGAGAATTTGATTATTCTTATTTTTCTCTCTTCTATGCTATTAACCTAAACACTAGCCTACCTCTTTTCACTTCAAAATTCCTTCTTCAAGCACTCAAAGGAGTCCATATTTTACTCGAGGTTCTGTCCTTAAGACAAGGCGTGAAAGGTAGAATCCTTTGAGGGTTTGGCCCCAAAATCAACCTTATTTAATTTAATTTAATTTAATTATTGTTTTATTATTTCCTTGAAGTTACTAACTCGTTTATTATTTTGTAGTTGCAAACAAACAAAATCAAAGTAAGGATCATGCTCTTTTTATTATTATTATTATTATTATTATTATTTTTCTAATGATTTTTATGTTGTTGGAATTATGATTAAATTGGTTTTTATATTAATATTGATTCTATTATATTTTGATCACCATATTGCATGTTTAAAGGGAATATGTAATTGAAAATCACGACTAATAAGATAATTTGGACAACCGGTTTAGGATCCTTTTTAATCTTATTATTAATTGAAGTGATCACCAAATATTTAGAATTATGTGTGCATTAATTTTAAACCAATTTAGCTAAATAATAGTTTGGAGCGAATTGAATATTTTGTTTGTATGCCTTTGAGATCACATGAATGCTTTTCAATATAAGAATCGAGTAGAGGCCAATACGGGCGAATGTGACTCCATGACTCACTTCGTACCATCATCCCCGATCCTCCTTTTGTGGTTCCGAACCATATGGAGTTAGTAATCTCATGGATTATGAATGAGGTGTAACCTTCATGGGTCAATTATTGTTGCCTATCGTTGTCCCTTAATTATGGTTGTCTTTTATGATCCGTAAACGGTTTACAAGTTCCTTAAAAACTTGTTGGTGGCTCCCTACTTTTTTGTCCCTAATCGTATATGTCAATTCCCACTTCCTATGAGTGCCAAGCATATTCACAACATGCTTTTAAAGTAGGCGCACTTCGAACGACGCCTACAATTTGGCGACTCCACTGGGGAGGATTCTTAATTATTTATCGATTTGAGTGATCGGTATTTAATTAAGATGAGTGGATGAGACTTGAAATATTCTTGAAAAAATATTCCTGTGATTAATTTGGCATTTTTGCATATGCATAGACGTTTTAACATCGCATTCAGGTCTGTCCCGTAGGAAAAATTGGATAACTTGGTTGCGCACGAAGAAAAACAGTACCGTGACACGGGAATTTTTGTCGTGTCACGGCAGACCTAAAATCAGTCCGGTGGCTTATTTTCTTTTCTCACAGTCGACTTCCTTCGATTTTTCTGAAAAAACGTATGTGTTCTACATGCGTCTTAGCCCCGGGGAATTTAAGCTCTATCGACCCAAAAACGCTCATGGCAATAAGGGTTCATCCGAGTTATTAAATCCACCCAACCCATGGAGTCGAGTTCGATTTCATCACGAACTCGCGGAGCCGCCCGTTGGCATACACCCTCAAGGGAGGCTGCCTTGCTAACGCGTCCAAACTCTTAACCATGGTACCCTTTTGACACCCAAAGCTTGACCAATAGTTGAACATAGATCTCGACTCTAGGTTGCGAACTTTTTTTTTACATCATCGTGCCTAAATGCTATGTGACTGTTTGGTGCTAACCCTCATGTGTTTGCTCTTTTTGTTTAATCCATGACCGAGGGTTTTTATTCTCACATAGTAATTAGTACAGACTTAAAATCGATTAAAATCTGAAAAAATCACAAAACTGACCTAGAACTGCACACCGTGTCACGGCATGTTCTGCCGTGTCACGGTGAACAGTGCCGTGACACGGGAAAGTCTACCGTCTGACGGTAGACTGCACCGTGTCACGACAGTCTGCACCGTGACACGGTGCCCAGGAAAGTGTCCTGTCTGTCTTTTTCTCGATTTTTGTGCGAATGCTGTGTCCAGTTTTGTGTCGTGTCTAGCTATACGGTCAAAACACGCGTCTATAACCTCACTTAGTCACTTACATATCGTGATTCACACTTTTTTTTTAGTCGTGCACCTTTTTTTGACCGTATTTTAGGGAAGTCTCGTTTTTGTGTCGTTTTTTTCGGAGTAAGTCGGATGGTATCCTCCCATGTTCTTTTTTTTTTTAAAAAAAAATAAGTAGAGTTTCAAAATTATAGATTTAAAAAAAAATCTTTTTTTTAATCCGGATAGGTTAAGGTTAAGTTTGGTCATTAAAGGTGTGTTTGTTTCGGTGGCACAACGCTTGGGCAAGAAGCAAGGGTAGATTATTGCGGTTCGAGTCCATACCTCAACAACCTCTTATACCAAAGAGGCGTACAAGGAGACCACCTCAATCATCTCCACAAGATCCGTCTCCGATCTACTTTCAACCAATGGCCACTAAGGAAGACATTGAGAACCTCAACAGGACAATCGAAAGATTGTCTGACATGATGTAGACACTCACCACTAGAGTCAGCACTGTAGAGCGAGATAATCAAAACAATGTCACTACTGCTGCAATGGACAAGATCAAGGAACAGATGAGCAAGATTTCTGAAGAGTTCACTTATGTGGAACAGCCTGTCACCTCTTCGTCCATAAGAGAGAAGCATCCTGAGAAGTTTTCCACTGCTGACATTCCCAAATTCAAGCCTACTGATAATCCGCTTTTCCATTTGAAGGCTTTTTCTGCAACTATGGCTCTTAAGGGAGTAGATGTGACACTCTTCCCTATGGTGTTTCCTCTTTCCTTAGAGCATGCCTGTCAACAGTGGTTCTATTCTTTGGAATCCAAGCATGTCGCGACCTGGGAGGATGTTGCTGAAATCTTTATGAATCGGGACAAGTGTAAAATCCAAGCCAAGACTTCTGAACGTGAACTCTCCATTCTCAAACAGAAAGAGAATGAAGGCTTCACCACTTACTTAAGCAGGTGGAGAGAAACAGCTGCGCTCCTGGTGGATCCTCCCAAGGAGAAAGAAATGGTTCGCTTGTTCATTGCCAATCTGACTCATAAATACAAGCAACACTTGAAGTTTCTGCCTTTAAGTCCTTTAACGCTGTATATGATATTGGAATCAATATCGAAGATGAACTGATGAAGTCTGTTGGTAGCAACAATAACAACAGTACTTGGAAAAACAAGAAGAACGACACTCCTTCTTCTTCGTCTTCTAAGCCCAATAATGCTACCAACAATATCAACATCAAAGATGTGCTAGCCCTTAATGCTCCTCCTCAAAGATTCCAAAGGAAAAGGAGGGTTTATACGCCTTTGGGAATGACTTATGATGCTTCTTATGACCGTCTTCATGGTCAGGGACTGATTATGCCAATCAGACCATTTCCAGAACCTCGACCTGAGAATAGGACCGCTAGCTATGAACCCAATGCTTATTGCAAGTATCATCAAGGCAAGGGTCATAACACTGAGAAGTGTTGGAGGCTGAAAGATGCAATCCAAGATCTGATTGATGCTAACCAACTTCCTGTCCCTCCAGGGGGCAAGAAGCCTAATATTCAAACATGTCCTCTTTCTGATGCTTTGGCTATCATGGGAGTTGAAGTCTCCTTTAATCCGTCAATACTCATTCAACCTGTGAATGAACCTCTGCCGGAAGTTGTATTTATCTCAAGCACTGAAGAAGTGAACGGGATCTGGGATAGTGATGATGAAGATGTCTATCTCAAAGACATAGCCTGTTCATCTCTCGGCACCAGTGAAGATGTTTAGGGGGACCTTGAGGT